TCATCACCTCCTGTCGTCTCTCTCCTGCGTGAACAAATCTGGAAGAAAGAACATACCTCTAGCTAGTGAATCATTACATAGGATAAGTTAAGCACAAAATCTACACAGATCGAAAATAAGAACATAATCACAGAAAAGCATGAAACAGGAGAAACCCTAGGAACAACTAGGATATGGTCGCATGAACTAGTTGTCTATGATCACAGGAAAACTGAAAACTACATGCCCAGGTCATAGATTTCTGGATTTGCAGAAATAAACACACTACAGGGATCAAAACATGCTCAGGAAGCTAGCAATTCCATTTTGGGAAAACTAGTTAAAAACATAAAAGGGGGAGGATTGCTCCAGTTGAGAGAAAATATGACTATTTTCACACCTTTTGGAAACTGAAAAACCAAACACTGTTAAGACACTTTAATCTACTTGTTTTAGACACTTTCTACCTGTTCTTAAATAGTTGTGATTGAAGGACTGAATTTAAGTAACTTTAGAAGTGTAAACTACTATGATCGGATGCTTGCTTACACTGAATATTGACATGCATTAACATGAGCACTAAAAATTGAAATTAACAGGAAAAAGGACAAACACAATCAGGCTAAAAACATTCACACTAGAAGGCACTCACACAAGTAGCAACAAACAAAAAGAATCTATAAAAATGATTACATATTTACAGTTCAGAACTAAAAGGAGAAATTTGTGACTGTTAGATCAAATTACTGGGACCTTCTCTGCAAAATTACTCTGCACTTATTTACAGTTCAAAACTGAATACTTGTTTGCATTAATAGATAATTTACTCAAAATATTGAGTGCAGGTGCCTACAATCAAACCAAATGCAATGAAATCCAGCATCAAAGGACATGCGATGTACCTCAATGAAGATGAAGTTGATTTCCTTAACATATGGCTTTCTAGTAGCAGAAAACAATCCTGAAAACAAAAAATGTTATCAAAAACATGCTTTCTTTAACTAGAGTCTTGACAAATAACAGAGTGGATCATACTCTTTTACTGAGCTACTTCAGGTGGTTCATACCGCTTTTAAACGGACCCACACCAAGATGTTATTGGATCCACACCCCAACCCTTTTCAACCCACACAGGCAAAGCAGCGAGAAAGGAGAAAAAGAACCCAGGCAATACTTTCCCATCTCTAATCTACTAACCACACACAATTAAAATGAAAATGACAAAAACCACTAAAATTACACTATAAAATCAACTAAAATTACACTAAGATTTACACTTTAAATACCGCTGTAAATCTAGTTTGAATCCACTGTAAAATCTACTACACTAAGAAAAACACTAAAGATACGGTAGGAATTACAGTGTAAATCCAGTAGGAATTACAATATAAATCTACCTAGAATTACAGTCCTGGAATTACATTGTAAATATAGTAGGAATTACAGTGTAAATCCAGTAGGAATTACAGTGTAAATACCTAGATCTACACTGTAAAATCGACCTAGAATTATAGTGTAAATATAGTAGGAATTACAGTGTAAATTCACTTAGAATTTCACTGTAAATCTACCTAGAATTACACTATAAGAATTGCAGTTTTGAACAAGCCAACAAAAATGAACACTAACCAACAGTAAGGAAGTGCTAAAATTACTGTGTAAACTACTTTGTAATTTAGTGTGTGAACCCGCTAAGAATTACTATGTAAGACCAATTAACATACAGTGTAATTCCACTGGGCATTACAGAGCAAAATCAACAAATAATTACACTACAACCCATCAGGGACTACAGTCAAAAAACTGGAAGAGGACATGACCAGAAATAAATCCACTTCATCATAGCAGCACATGCCCTGAGCGGGTACATACCCCATCTTTATCAGAGCCAGACTAGAAAAAAGCAGCTAAAAAGCATAGCCTAAGACTTTCTCGAAATCATGATCATCCATTTGACGTTCCTGCAGTTAACAGATGAAACAAATGAATGAACTAGAAAACCGGAACAAATAAGCTACCAAACAAGAAATAAAAGAAATAAAAAATCAAATTAGAAATATAACCTCCGAATCTTGAAAAGGATCATCCTCAGCAAAATCATTGGGGACAAAAGGATCCCCATCTGAATCATCACAATCTTGAACACAAGCAACAGAAGTGCCCTTACCAAAAGCCTTCATGAGTCTCCCCATACTTTAATCTATAACCTAAATATGTACAAACACAAAGAAAAGGACAAAATGTCTGAGATGAAATGGCAAAAGGGATAAAACATAACAAAAATATAAAGAAGAAATGCATTGATAGCATTTACAATCTACATCTCTTTTATTTCACTACATAACCCACTAGTGAAGAAATCACATGCGAATTACAATGGAAACCAACTGAGAATTACATTGTAAATACATTGTAATCACCCACTAAGAAAATACACTGGAATTCCGATGAAGATTACAGTGTACATCCGAATATAATTATACTCTAAATCCTCAAGAAAATACACTGGAATCAGATGCATCGCAAGAACATACAAACTAGCGGTGCATCACAAGAACAGTCACAATTCCTCTGCTACTCAATTAAAGTGTAAATTACACTGAATTTACACAGTAAAACCAGCTATGAATTACACTGTAAATTTGCTGACAAATACACAGTAAATCCAAAACGCAATTCCACTATAAAAATTCAAGTGAATTACACTGTAATTCCACTAGCGAATACAGTGCAAATTCATGGCAATTACACTGTAAATCAGCTATCAAATTACACTGTACATCACTGACAAATACACTGTAATTCCACTAACAAATACAGTGCAACCCCACTGACAAAAATACACTGCAATTAGGATATATACACTATTATTCCACTAGCAAATATAGTGCAAATACACTGAAATTACACTGTAAAATAACCGGGGATTACACTACAAATTGCTTTGGATTTACACTACAAATATACTACCTATCCACAAGAAAATTACACTGGAAATCCAGTACGGATTACAGTGAAAATCAATGAAAATCCAGTATGAATTACACTGAAAATCACTCTAAAAAACAATGGGGATTGCACTGTAAATCCAAAATAGAAATTACAGAGTAAACCACATACCCACTAAACGATACCAGTGAAGAGAAATGGTCTAGGGATTAAAGGCCAGGGAACAGAATACATCCGTTCGAATTGACTGAATACATCAGAGTACTACAACTAAGCAAGCCAGCCTCACATGAACAACTCGAACTCCAACATCCAATCAATTATAGATCAGCACATCGAACTGACACACATCCCAGCTACGGCAGCTACCGCGCTTAGCAGAACAATCAAACGCATCCCAGAAACAGTGCAACCTAAACAAATCTACACGGAAAAAAGCTGCGGGGGATGGATACAATCATCAAATCTGACAGACAAAACCAACTCCCTACCTAACAGATCACA